CGAAATTTAATAAACAAATGACATTGTTCTTGCTAAGGACTAGATCACAAATCTTGACTTTTACTAGTAAGATGTGCTATCTAAGATTAGCAGTAAAAGTACAAGAAATATCAAAATTACAATAATCACATGCCGAAAATAATAATTTATACAATATTAGTTGTTTGGCAATCTGCTGTGTACTGATACAATGTTATAGTGCGAAACATGCTATATTCTAATTGAACCTTACGATCTCGAATCAACCCTTCCAAACCTCAAAATCAAGAATTTCTATTTTGTCGCTTATTTCTATACGCAATAATCCTTTCTTTCAATTCAGTGTCTACAAATATAAGGGTTAATGTTATTTATTTGAGTTTGCGAAAGATAATAAAGACTTAGTTCACTACTCACTTGGTATTACTTGATCAATTGTTAGTGGTTTTCGATTAAAAGGATCAGTAGTATCGCTTAAAAGATGCGTTGTTATAGTGCTCCGATCGATAGTAACCCTTGATTCAGGTAAAATCACAGGATCTTCCATAATACTGTACATTAGTGGATCTACAAATCATGACAAGTTAATAAGATTAGGTCAAACTATCATATATATATATATAAGAAGGATAATATACTTACCCAAAAATTCGTCAGGAATTTCTCCCAACTCCTCTTCTCCAGCAGCCTGAGCTTTAATAAATTCTTCAACTTCATTAACAAATTTCTCTAATTCTGCAACATCCTTATCTGACTTCAACCCCCTGTTCAACAAAATTCCTGCGGCTCTAGAAAAATGATTCTTACTGTAACTCCTACCATCCCTTGCCACTGCTTGTACGAATTCTTTATGTTTACCCAAGTTTAGATAAATGGAGACTAATTGTGATAACAATTCTCTAGGCTGAAATCTGTATTTTTCACGGTTCTTAACTTTTAGTTCGGTGCATTTGGGGCCTACCAATGATACTAAATTATAATCCAACATTGCTGCTAATCGATCAACAATTTCGGGTGTAAGGAATGGATCAACCACCTCGGATGTCATATATTCTAGCATATGTACTGTTTCGTTCCCAAGTGCCATATATGATGTTGCTTGTCGTTCGAGAGAACGAAGCAGACCTTCACGTTCCTGTCGATGTTGCTGAATATAATTTATGAAAGATTAAGTTATTAAATTTTTTGATAATGAAAGATCTTTTTGAGGGAATAAACGGTACACCAAATTATGAAAAGACTAACTGGGGTTTGTCTATCCCATGTTTCTCTATCATCCATTTCAATTTGTATATTGTGGATCTCGGATAATTTTGTTAGACTTTCATCTAATAAATATGTCGCATCGTTCATAAGCAAATTGGCGAATCGAACAAAGGACTCTGTCTTCCTGTTAATAAGCAATCAATCATTTTGTATTATTCGATCATGGTAAACGTAAGTGTAAACTTAATATTATCTAAACTTACAAGCTTTCTTCCTTCAGCCTTTCCTTGTGAGCATGATTGTTCCATATTGCTTTGAAAATTTGCGAAATGTTATATCGAATGTTAAATTTGTCGTAAAATTGCGTATGTGCTCCAGTTTGTTCGACCTCTGGAAATTAAAATAAATGTATTCAGTAAAATCGCCAGAGCTTTCTTCTAACAGAGGATGAAACAATAAATCAACTCACCAACGTAAAACTGCATTAAAGATGGCATTAGGTGATTCAACGAGATTGGATGAGTTAACAAAATCGCACCTATTCCACCTTCATTTTCACCATATAGGGTATAATGGAACAAAATCTAATAGTTAAATAAAACACCATGATGCATAAAAATTTTCTTCTAATGACACAAATTAAAATTAAAATCAAATAAAATAAATAATAATAAATAAATAAAATATGGTATAATATTCCACATACTTCCACTAACTTGGCCTTTAAGTATGGATTTTTGATGTAAGTTGAAGAATTGAGAAAAGTGATTATAAAGATAACCAATTCATCACGTGAACTCGTGAGTGCAACTTTAGGAACATATCTGTGAGGATATACGCTTGTTAGATGAATGATTAGTACAAGTAGAATGCAATGCCTTTTTGATACCTTGAAATGAATAAAAAGAATTCAGCTATGTCTTCAATTATATATTCCGGTAACATTGTAAAGGCTTCTGGCGGTGTCTTCGGCAGTGGCAATCTTAGATACATGATGTTTTAATTATCTTCAAGGAAAGTTCAATCCCGCAATAGTGACTTAAGACCATTACCGTATCTGTTGCGCCGGATGTTTTCCAATAGGATCGACAATTCGCAGTATCCAATTAATGACCAAGTTATAAAATTGGAGCGAATGAGATAATGCAGTATTATCTAAAAGTTGTGTGTCGTAAGCTATCTTATGCGATGTTCCTTTATCGAGTTGTAACTGATAGCGAAAGTGAAAAGGTCAATAGTCCATGAGGGTTTGAAAATAATAAAATATACTTTTAATAATTCATAAATTACAAACTTTGTATCGCTTCAAAATTTCTTCATTTATCACAGCATCAGCCTAACAAAGACATAAAACTAGTTAATCAATTTAGAAACGCTTTAAATCGATTAGACTAGCGTGCCTACCCCTGTCCAATTGGGTTGATCTGCCCTCAGTCTTTCATATTGTCTTTGAAGTTCTGATAGATCTTTGATCAAGTTATTGTATTTTTCATAACAGTGCAAAGGTCCATAATGATGCATTGCGATCGTAAGGAAAAATATTTCTGATATGAAGTTCGGTGCTATCATTTATTTTAGCAATTATTAGAAAACGATTGAACACAAATTCTCTCTTTACTTTGTAATCACCACTAACCATCATTATTCCTAGTAGGCTGAGAACAGTATTCATCATACTCCTGTTGAGTCGCCTTAATTTTTGTCTCCTGACTGACATCAATTCTCTTGGACTTTCGGAAGTAGTCGACGTCAATGCGATCGATCTTTGAAAAGTTAATGATGAGAACCCAAATCCACAATGTTGTTAACAAATTTAATGATGTGAGTAAACAATCACCTTAGAACAATGGACGTCCATAAAGGGATCCGCCAGAGTTAATAAAACCTTGGTTAAATTCATTAAAAAACCGTCCGTTCCTACTTGCAACGGATCAACCTTAATAATCAAAAAATAATGATTTAATAGGTGCGGTCCCTCGAATAAGTTGATAGCATCAACATGCGATAATAACCTGTATTTGAGCCCTTTTCTCATTTAATTTTATGACAGTAGCAAAATAACCGAGCACCCCTTCTTTAGCTGACGGAGAAGAACGGATGATATTATTAAATATATTAAACAAGGATTTCTACATTTAATAATAAATTTAATTAATTATAACCATTTTAAAGCGATAATTACGATAGTTATTCATGAAAAAAAAAAAAAAAAAAAAAAAAAAAAAAAAAAAAAAAAAAAAAAAAAAATTTTTAAACTTTTTACTTAAATACCCCGCACCGCTTTTCTTAGACTTAACCTTGGGGGAGCCACCTAAACCTT